TGACATTTTTTATAAATTTGATGATTTATTTTCAAATTCTTTTAAACATTCTCATGTTTTTAAATGAATTCAATAAATGTTTCCAAATTTTAAACTTAATCTAGTAGAATATTAATAAACTTTTAACATTCTAAAGTGATAGAATGTTTTTCTCAGTTGTAAATTAACTTTCAAAACTTTCCAGATTGGAATTATCCTATTCGAAGATACATGTCTCAACAATACAGCCTGGAGCCCATGAGTCAAACTTCACCAAAACTGGTCTAATCTCACTGCAGAAATCATGGGAGAGACTTTCTAGTGAAGAAAAGAATTTATATGGACTTGACTATTACAAGAGAAGTAAAATTATTTCATTTTTTTTAGTTAAAACAACTTTTTTTAGTCATATGAATTATTATTTATGTAAATAAATTTTTTTCAAATTTTCAGTTTCTTGGTACGAAAGAACATTCTTGAAAATCTTCGCCAGAAAGAGTCACAGAAAAGTAATAGAGGCCTACATACATGCTCTGTTGAGTAAGGCGCCTTCTAGAAATTACATTGTAGGGTATGACGCCAATGTCATGTGTTTGCTGAGTTTATACTTCCCTAATTTCATCTTAGATTTTCTCTTTAGAATCACTGGCGTTGTTTGCAGGCCTCTCTCTAGTTGATGATTTTACTATAAAGTTATTTTTCGATCGACAGTATCAGGTTTAGTTTGATCATGCGTGCGTGTATTAGTTTAAAACTGATTTATTTAATTTTGAAATTGTACATACAAAATCGACAGAGTATTTTTTTGAGTTTATTTAATTTATAAATAGTTTGCCTTTTGTTTTCATTCAAGGAGCTGGTATTTGTACTAAATTCTGGTTTTAACGTGTAGAAGATTGACAATTAGTTGTTTAATTGTTGGTTGATTCCTCTGCCCATTCATTCGATGCGTTTGCTATGCTACTTTTACTACTGCTGCTGCTACTGCTACTACTACTAATACTTCTGCTACTAATAATAACCAGGAATGTAAGAAATAATAAATAAATTGAAACAAACTTCTGTACTAAAAAAAAGGTTTTTATTAAAGCTCACAGCTACGCTACAAGCAATCTAGGAAGCTGTTTCTATTCGTTTTCATTAAAAGACAGACTGCATTTCATTGTGTTGTATTGTGTGTGTGTCATGTTATAAGTCCTATTGTGTTATAAGTCACATTTAGCTATTAGGCTTGTACATACCTCAGAATCCACCAAACAATATATACACACGCATATTTAAAAGTTTAAAAATACAACTAGCTGAAATTTGAACTTGATCGAAAAGACATGAACTATTTAATTTAATCAACTGTTTTTGTATTTCTCATAACTCGAATTGCAAATCAATGTTACGTATTTCGTTGGCTGTTGTTGATACTTACTTGACATTATGCCTTTTCTTTCAAACATGTTTGTGTGCCTACTACATCCAAGATTGCTCACTTCATGATAATGTCTGTTTCTATACGAGCGGGGCAATAATCTCGAATGTTCGAGATGGCGATGGTTTATGTTCAAAGGATGGGGAGGAAGGATTCCTTCTGAATATGCTCATTGATACTGACAAAAATTTCTTACTGGAAAGTATGAAAATTTTTGTTAGATCTTATCAGGAAATTAGAAAAAGTAAACCATTTAACTTTTTTAAATTCGAATTATTGATGAAATAAAATATTTACTGACAAAATAGAGTTAGTTTTGTACAAAAACAGTTCTTACTACACGGCAAGCTCTGCCGAAATGGACTGCCAATATTACGATGGTCAAACTGGGCAACTGAATGCCACTACCTGCACCGCAGATGCAAAATTCCTCGCGGTTTGCATGAGAAAAAGTTACAAATTCCATTCTTTTATATGAAATTTCATACTAAATTCTCTGTTGCTATCGCATTGTTCTGTGTAAAGTCTATAGTTAAATATTTGTTTTGACTTTCAAAACACACCTCTTACTAAAAATGTTGAAAAACCTCACAGAGTGCACAAATAAATGGAACGTATACAGAGATAAGGATAACTTGAATGCAAAATATTTCAAATTCCTGACGAAAGAAAGTTGTGAGTTGTGTTGCGACATTGTAGGAGCGGGCTGCTCTGGATATGGCTATGACGAACAGAGTAAAGCCTGCCGTATCAACTACAGTGCATCTTTATCAGACTTGAGAGATCGTATTAATAATTCTTACTACGAAAAACTGACTTCGTCCCAAATCTGAAACAATTTCGCAGGTTTACAAATCTTTTTTCGCTCTTAAGCTTTGCTTTTATTTAAAAAATCGAAAAATTTCTGATGTAAAAAGTTAGTTTTTGTAATTTTTCTAGACATTTACACAAAAGACGGACAAAACACAAGTTTGTATCGAATGAATCAACTTATATTTATAATACTTAATCTCTTAATTTGACAAAAAACATAAAACAATCTGTCAAAAACGCAGCAAACAATGCATTGATCGTTGGAGTGATACTGGGGGCTCCCATAATCATTCTGACCGTCGTCATCCTTGTCTTTTCTTACAAATATAACAAGTAATTAACATGAATGTTTCCATATTTAAATCTTTTTTTTCCAACTTTCAGTTTAAAATAAATTTAAAATACTCGTTAGATTATTATCATTACTGCTACTACTACTACTACTGCTGTTGCCATTACTGCTGCTACTACTGCTGCCACTAATACTACAACTACTGCCTTATTTTTTTGTTTAAGTATTGAAATATAGTTTGAGATTGAGTTTGTTGCAATTTATGGTGTAGAATTTTCAAAAAAATTGTAAAATCTACAGGCTTAAAAAGCATCAAGTACCTATTAAAGTGACCAGTTTGCGGGAAGAAAATGATTACAACAGCAACCATAGCATCAATAACAACAACAACGACGACAACAGCAACAACAATGACAATAATGTTAACAAATTTAATAATAAGAAGAAGAAGAGTAAAATATATGATGGTGATAACAATAACAACAACAACAATAATAATGATAATAATAATAATAACAATAAAACTGAAGCAATCTACACTGGAATTAGAACCGTAAAGATTGATCAGACTTGCGCGTCTATGAGCCACTGCATATATAATTTATTTATATATAATAATTATTTTTTATTATGCCATAATTTCTAAAGTTATTCGATAGAATTTCGCTAATAATAATAATAACGATGATTCTCATTAACAATTATTATTTTTATTACAATGGTGACGATTATTATTGTTTATATAGATAACTTCTGTTATAAGAAAAACTTGAATATAAAATAATATAAAATAATAACATAATTATTATTATCATCATTAATAATTGTTCTGGTCTTCTAGTTATTTATTATTGTGATATTTTGCTGAATAAAAGATTGTTTCAATTCAATTAATTATAGTTATAATTATTGTTGTTAATTAATTATAGTATAATTGCGAATAATTATTGCTTCTCCTAACATAAGATGAAGGGTCCGTCGTTCAGAAAGAATATGTCTGGCTTGGTGACAGGTAGGCAGAGCTTACACACACACCACACACACACACACACACACACAAACACACACACACACACACATACAGATGAACATGCGTCAGTTGGGGTTGGCCTATTTGTATTCATGCTTGTCTTACTCTATATCGCATGCCTTTTGACTTACTGGAATAAAAGGTATAATTAACTGTAATTAATAATAACAACAATAATAAATTAATAATTTTATTATTGTCATTGGTATTTTCATAATTTTTTTAAGACTTAGAAGAAGGTTAAAGAAAAAACATAATTCTCGAGGAGATACCAGAAGCATTGATGTTGTTAGCTAGAGAGAAAGAGAGAAAGAAAGAAAAAGAGAGAGAGAGGAAGAAAGAAAAAAAATAATAGCAAAACATCATCATCAACATCAACAACAACAACAACAACAACAGTAACAATACAATAACAACGATAATGATATAAACAAATATGTTGATGGTAATGACATTGATCTGCTTTCATTTATTATATATTATATACGTTATACATTATATATATATATATATATAACATGTATATATATAATGAGAGAGAGAAAGAAAGAGAGAGAGGGAGAGGTGGGTGTTAACGTCTTTCAACACCTCACCAAAACCGTTGGTAAATTAGTCACAATTATTCTTTTCTAATTTTTTGATTTTTCGCTTAGGAAATGGAATTTTTCATTGTTATTTGCTGCCATTTCGTCGTCTTTTTAGCCAAAAATTCTTTTTTTGAGGAATTTAGATGAATAATTTATAAATAGTTTATAAATAATTTATGAATAGTTTATTGACGGTTTATATCGCAAGCCTTTTTAATAGTATTATACCACCTATAAGATTATTATTTTATTTCTATAAATTATAGAAACTACGCTACGTATTATAGACTATAATACGTAGCGGGCAAATTAACTTTTTACCGAGTGATAATTTTTAAAACGTAAAATGAATAAACGTAAACAAACAAACAAATGTATAAATGAATAAATAAATAAGTTATTACAAGATTTGAAAATGTCTGCAGAAGCCGATAGGAACACGACGGACGGTTTCATCGTCAAAGACAGTTTGTTTCGGCTTTTGCATTATTTCTTCATTGTTTATCTCTCTCTCTCTCTCTTTCTCTCTCTTTCTCTTCTCTCACCCTCTCTCTCTCTCGTCTTTCAAATTCGAAGGAGACTTATCCTTACATCACTTGAAGAACTTCTACTAGTAACAATACTCTCAACTATAAATGCCACCTTTACTAATCTACTAGTACAACCGCTATTAACGACATTTCTGCTACTACTTCTACCTCTGTTATAGTTGTAGCTGAAGCTACTACTACTACTGCTACTGGCTACCACTACTACCACTGCTGCTGCTACTACCACTGCTGCTGCTACTACTACTACTGCTACTACTACTGCTACTACTACTACTACTGCTGCTGCTACTACTACTACTACTACTACTACTGCTACTACTACTACTACTACTACTATTACTACTACTACTAATAATAATAATAATAATAAAATACTACTAGATTCGCCAATTGTGTTTGGCCTATTCTTTTCTGGTGTGTACATCATACTCTTCCTTATAATTGGCTACTTAATTCGCGTGAACATAAGGTTAGCTATAATTTACTATAATTAATTAATTACATTTAATAATATAATCAATTATTATGATCATAATTATCGTATATTATGATCATAATAATTATTATTATTACGTTAGCGGTTGTCTGAGATCTTCTAAGAGAATAATATGAGTGCCGGTTTAAGTACCTATTAATATTAGTTGCGATGTATCGCGTAAATCCTTAACTATTCTACAAGTTATCAATTATTATATAAATTATGAATTATTGTATGAGTTATGAATTATTGTAGGAATCATGAATTATTGTATGAATTATGAATTATTGTATAAATTATGAATCATTGTATAAATCATGAATTATTATATAAATTGTAGGCTAAGGAGGAAAGTGAAGAATATGAATAAAGACACGAGAAGTGGAGTGGTACACCCCCAACAACAACAACAACAACAACAACAACAACAACAACAACAACAACAATAATAATAATAATAACAATAATAATAATAATCACTTTTTATTATTATTATTTATCTCAGATAACTTCATGCTACTACAATAAACTAATAAACTTTGCCTACAGAGTTATTAATCATATAAACATTGCCTTGAATTTGCACAGACACACGCACACGCACACACACACACGCACACACACACACACACATACATATATACCGGATTCTGATTAATACACATTGGTACATAACAAATTGGTATATCATCAATTTTCATGCTCTGAACATAAGCCGGATGAAATGTACAAGGAATTTTTCAACCTAGCATGTAAAAAATAAAACATCAGACTCTGTGTTTGTTTGCTTGTTTGTTTGATTGTTACACACGAACAAGCACACACGCACACACACATACATACATACACACACACATACATACATACATACACACACACAGACGTACATAGGCACAAACACACTAGCGTACAAACATAATAATGCAATAAGGTTGTATGCTTGGCACAATTGCGATCTATCAAACTCAATCTCTTTAACCAAACAAAATTTTTTCATCACAAATTTATCGTACGGAGCCACCTAACACTACATAGATCAATTCATTAAACAACTCAATTATTTTGTTAAATGCTCATCTCTCATTGGATAGCATCTCATCCAATCAAACCTCGACATTTCTATTCCTGCTACAATGTTATCCAATTATATTGCAGATAATGAATTATAATTAATAACTCCCATTAAAAATAATTGCAAATATCAATTTATTAAAGTATTTGATAACATCTTAAAACTTATTCAAGTCACGTCAGCCAATAGGAAGTCTTAAAACATCCTTTTATGAATATTTCCGACTCGAAACTCCTCCTACTAAAGAATGGAGCCCTGCTATTGGTCGAACATTTTCCTAATGTGTGTTACGTTCATCCTCATTAAATAGTTAAATTATGGAAAATCAGATATACCAAATAAATCCACAAATATTGTGTGTGTATATGTATTTAATAATTCATTGTAATATATATATATATATATAGCAATTTTTATACATTAAAGGACAATTGCATTATGTGTTATGAATTATGAATGTGTGGATTTTTATATATGTATATATATATATAATATATAAGTGTGTGTGTGTGCGTATGTATGTGTGCGTGTGCGTATGTATATATATGTGTGTGTGTGTATATGTATGTCTTTGTGTATTTATAGATGTTATGCGAAAAATTTATATAAGAGAGAAAGCAACCAACCATCAGTCTCTTCTGGCAGTATTTTTATGGAAAATATTTTTTTCAAATGAATTTGAGTAATTATGAAATAATTTAACGTTATTATAGCAAAGGGCAATACTATCTTGAGAGTAAATTTAAACAAATATAAATGTTACACCGGTATTAAAGTAAGAAATAATCGAGTTTAGGTCGATATGCCTCGTTTGACAGCCTACAAAATCGAAGACCTCATTGAAAATGGCACCCCAAATCTCTCCTTTGACAACAACAACAACAACAACAGAAATGACAACAATAATTACATTTATAATGATAGTATCAACGACAACAACAACCAGAACAACAACAATTACAACAACAAAAACAACATCAACACTGTTGACAACAACTTCGCATTTAAGGATGATTGTTTGGATGAATTTCAGCCGGGAAAGTTTATGCTATCTAGTTAGCAAAGATTTTACATTCGATATTATGGTTTATCATCATTATTATTATTTATTATTATTATTGTTATTGTTGTTGTTAGTATTAATATTGTTATTATTATTATGATGATGAAAAAAGGATTCAATGGAGTTGTTTGCTTACCATCATAACTTCCTCGATCGCTCTAATCTTTTCCGCTATTGTTATTATTCTTATTATATTATTATTATTATTATTATTATTATTATTATTATTATTATTATGTTATTATATTATTATTATTGTTAGTATTATTATTAATTATATTATTTATACTCTTAACTCTCACGTTGTGTCTTCGTCATCATACGTGGCTGTTGAGATCATCGTCGTCGTCTTCGCCACCATCAGCCACAGCAGCAGCAGTGGTCGCAGCTTCACCAACAGCAACGTAACACAACAATCATCATCACCATCATCATCGTCATCATCATCACCATCATCATCGTCACCATCATCATTGTCATCATCATCATCATCATCATCGTCGTCGTCGTATTCATCATCATCATCATCATCACTATCATCATCATCACCACCATCATCATCATCCTCATTTAACATCACATTACCTGTTTAAATGGAGTCTTTTTGGATTTTTCTTTCCACTTTCCTCCCTTACCACAGCGTCATACTCGGGACTATCGATCTTCCGAGATGAAATGAAATGACAAAAAATTATTATTATAATCATTATTATTTATTATAATTATTATTATTATTTTTATTATTCGTTGTTATTATTATTTCTTGTTATTATAATTGTTGTTGTTGTTGTTGGTGGTGATAATGGTGGTGGTGTTCATCTTGTTTTTTTTTTACCTGAAAATTGAAAACGCTTTTGTAACAGCCGTCAATTGTCATCATCATCGTCATCATCATCATCATCATCACTATTACACCATCATCATCATCACCATCATCATCACCATCATCATCACCATCGTCATCACCATCGTCATCATCGTCTCAGGAAGTGTAAGGAACGATTGACTCTCTTAAAGTGGTGTTAATGCATTGACATATTATAAAATGGAGACGCCAGTGTGTCTTCATACACACACACGCACACACACACACACATATACACGCACACATACATACATACATACATACATACATACTTACATACATACATACATACATACATACTTACATACATACATACATACATACATACATACATACATACATACATACATACATACATACATACATACATACATACATACATACATACATACATACATACATACATACATACATACATACATACATACATACATACAAACATACACCCAGACAGACAAACACTCAGACAGATAGAAACACAAAAAAAACAATGCTGTTACAAACACTAGCATACACATAAACAGATACACATACATAGAAAAAAACAAACAGACAGACTTACAGACAGACAGACAAACAAACAAACAGACAAACAAACAAACAGACAGACAGACATACAAGCAGACAAGCAGACAGACTCGCAGGCGACAGACACCTTCTGTATTGGCGTATCAATCCGGAACATATAAAATTCGTCGATTAGATACACTTCATTTTGAGGAAGCACTTGTTACAAATGCGTTGTTGTTGATGTTGTTGTTGTTGATGTAATTGTTGTTGTTGTTGATGATGATGTTGTTGCTGTTGTTGCTGCTGTCGAAGTTGATGTTGTTGTTGTTGATGTTGTTGTTGTTATTGTTGCTGTTGAAGTTTGTTGTTTGTTGATATTGTTGTTGTTGTTGATGTTGTTGTTGTTGTGGATGTTGTTGCTGTTTGTCATAAGGCCTAGATTGTTTTTCATAAAAAAATTTAAGTAAATTTCATTAGCGTTTTTGTTCGTTTCGTTCATACATTCACACATGCACGCATACAAACACACATACATCCACGCACACAAACAAACAAACAAACTTACACACACACACACACACACACACACAACACATTCACACATACACACATACATCATTTCGGATGTACATTTATTAAGAACAATCAATTAAGACGCCTGACACACTAGAAAACTAAGTAAAAGAAGTTTCCTTTAGTTCAGAAACATACAATACAAAAATATACAAATAAACACACACACACACACACACACATAATGTATATTTTATTTGTACGTTCCGTTTTTTTCGCATATTATGTACATATGTAGGCATGCGAATATGTGTGTGTGTATATATTGCACTTGTATTGATTAATTATTTTTATTATTAATATTATTATTTTTATTATTGTTATTATTATTATTATTGTTAATGTTATTGCTGTTAAATTAATCATTTAAAAAAAAAAACTCCACTGAATCGTAAGGAGTGACCGGAAATAGGAGGAAAAAAATCCAAGATGTCCGCCGTCTGCTTACCAAAGATCATGCACTCGAGAGATCCATTTCCTCTGACGTCAGAGCATCTGCCGACCACGTCATTGTTAGCAATGGAGCTGATAGCATGGAAGACGTTGATCAGGAAGTGGACGCTGATGATGACGTCAATAATAATAATAATAATAATAATAATAATAATAATAACAACAACCACGATAATAATAATAACAACAATAATAATAATGATGATAATGATAATGACGACGCTATGTTTGATAATGATGATGATGACGATGATGATGATGACGATGGAGGCGGTATGATGGAGTTCAGTTACAATGATCGTAATCATAAAAATTATCATCTGAAAGGAGCCACGATGATGAATAACAGCAGGTATAACATTAATGACATCATCAACAACAACTTCAACCACAACAACATCAACAACAACGACATCAACCAAACAAACGAAAACACTAATGGAAACCTCAACAACAACGACGCCAACCAACAGCGAAAAGCAGGCGATCTACAGCAACCATTTCAACTACTGAAACAGCAGCAACAACAGCAGTCACAGCAGCAACAACAACAACAACAACATAGTTTTTCGCCATCTAGTGAGCAGTTGAAAAAACAGCGGCGTTACAGAACCACTTTTACAAGTTTCCAACTGGAAGAGTTGGAACGAGCGTTTCAAACAACACACTATCCAGACGTATTTACCAGGTCTGTATTGCTTTGTTTGTTTGTTTGTTTGTATGTATGTGTTTGTATGTGTGTGTTTGTATGTGTATGTTTGTATGTGTGTGTGCGTTTGTATGTGTATGTATGTGTCTGTTTGTTTATGTATGTGTGTGTGTATGTTTGTAAGTTTTGATACAAAGTGTAGTTAGGTATTTTTTTTAAGAAACATTTTTTACAAAACAGAGAAGACCTTGCCGTGAGAATTCAACTGACCGAAGCAAGAGTCCAGGTTTATTGCCATTTAAACTTACTACTACTACTACTACTACTACTACTACTACTACAACAACTACTACTATTAATAGTAATAACAATAATGACAGTTTTAGCAACAATAGCAACTCGATCAACAACATAAGCATCATTCATAACAGAATCATACATATTTAATAAGCCACTTATCACTGTATATATATATATATATATATATATATACAAAGAATATATATATATATATATATACATGTTTGTTTGTATGTATATTTACAAACATAGATAGATAGATAGATAGATAGATAGACACACGTACTTCGCATACATTAAAATGTGCATCTCATATGACCAATTAGCCATCGTTCTAAATAATATAGTGTCGTCATTTTTACGCAAAGCTATTACCTAAAATTTGCAATAACAACAACAATAATAATAACAACAATAACAACAACAATAACAACAATAACAACAATAACAACAATAACAACAATAACAACAATAACAACAATAACAACAATAACAACAATAACAACAATAACAACAATAACAACAATAACAACAATAACAACAATAACAACAATAACAACAACGGACCAGCTACTCATCAAGGCATTAGAGAGCTATCGAATAAAATTGAAAATAATGATGCCCAATCTGAACTTTGAACTTTTCCTCTTAATCGACCACCCACGTCCATGTCGTTGTTGTTGTTGTTGTCGTTGATGTTGATGTTGTTGTTGCTGTCGTTGTTGTTGATGTTGTTGTTGTTGATGTTGGTGTTGTTGTTGTTGTTGATGTTGTTGTTGGTGTTGTTGTTGATGTTGTTGTTGGTGTTGTTGTTGATGTTGTTGTTGTTGTTGGTGTTGTTGATGACGACGATGACGATGATGCTGTTGCTGATGTTGATGATGACGATGATGTTTATGTTGACGTTAATGATGGCGATGATGGTGATGATGTTTAAGATCATCATCACCATCATCACCACCACCATCATCACCACCATCATCACCATCATCATCAAACTCATCCAACCAAGGTGTGGTTTCAGAACAGGAGGGCCAAGTGGCGTAAGAGAGAGTCCTACGATCCAACATCACCCACAGCAGCAGCTGACATTTTTCCACACCATCACCCACCATTCTTTCATCTTCCACCCTATCACCATCACCATCATCATCATTCCCATCTTCCTTCTCACCATCATCACCACCACCATCAGTCGTTCTACCCCTCGCCAAGGCAATCATTTCATCATCATCATCAACTTCTTCATCATCACCATCTCAATAATAACCACCTAAGCAAATTTGGCGATAGCCTATTTAAGAAAATTATCTCCCCGAATAACGTTGGTGATCGTAATGTTGACAACATCATCAGCAGCAACAACAACTTCAACATTGTTGCCGAAGACAGTTTTTTACAAAGTCGAATGAGACTACTGGCACAACAACATCAGCTAAGACAACAACAACAACAACAGCAACAATTTCTGCAACAGAAACAAGAAAAGTGTTTTCAGCAACATCGTATTCAACATCAGCAGCATCCTTTACTAGAATGCAATCGTAATTGGAGTGTAAATTTGCAACAACAACAACAACAACATCATCAACAACAACAACAGCAGCAGGTTAAATATTCACATGTTTTTCAGATGCAGACGGCAGCATCGTCGCCATCATCAGCTTCATCAAGTTTGAAGAAAGTTAATAAGATTAACAACAGCATTGATAACAATTGCAACAACAACGACAACAACAACATCCACAACAATGACAACAACAACAACATCCACAACAACAATGACAGTATTGATGTCAGTGACCACATCAACAAATTTTCGATTGAAAGCATTCAGAAACCATACAAAGACAAACGCAATTGGAAAGTTTACAACAACAACAACAACAAAGATAATAAAATAATTTTATTTGATAATGACGTCAGCTACAACTACAACAACAAAAATGATAACAAAGATAGCAACAACAATAGCAACAACTCCGATGATGAAAGTTGCCAAAATGGAGAAACAAGCTTCAAAGGTCTCAAGAATAATCATGAAACGAACGACAGCAACAACATCAACAACAACAACAATGCTACAACAATCTACAAATTAAAAACACCAAACAACAACAGCAACAACATCGATCATGACGACGATAACAGATATAAGATGACTGATACAAATAATTTGGATTATGGCTCCGATGTTTCAAATTTGTTTGTGGTACATGATTCAAATTTTAAACAACAACAACGACGACACGAACAACAAAAACAACATCATCATCATTACTTATCTCCAAAAATGCTAACAACACCACCATCAACATATCTTTCTCAACAGCACAAACATTTGCCCTTCTTATTCCCACAAACTTTGAACAAGCAACAACAACAGCAACAACAACAATCACATCAACATCAACAACAACATCATCCTTTCTTCCCAAATGCTAGCAATATTGACTACAGCTACCTACTATCACCTTTCCTCTACCATTCCTATTTTCTAGCGCTTGCTTCGAAACAACATTTAGCGACAAATAAAGATTACAACAACAACATCAACAACAACATCAATAACACCAACAACCCCAACAGCGATAGCATTTTCAGTTGCAAAGTTGACAACATCAGTACCAATACAGTTGATGACATTTGTGGCATTGATAGTGTTAGAAGCGACGAAGTTGATCACACTAACAGGAAAGTTAACGTCACAAGTAGGCCTAGCGCAAGTTGCAATCATGACATTAATGACAACAACAAAATCAACAACAACAACAACATCAACAACTTTTTAAATTCATTCAGTGGCAACTACTGCCAGCAAAAGATCGGGTTTTTCCAGCGCCTCTTGGCCACCATGTCTAAAAGTAGCATCAACATCAACAGCAGCAGTAACAACAACAACAACGTCATCAGTGACGTCATCAACAACAACAACAACAACAACATTGATGTTTGCCATGACAATGCTTAACAAAAACGTTTGTTGATGCAGTATTCCTTTTAATGTCATTTGAAAGTTTTTATTTTTCAAAATGACCTACTAATCGTCTGTTTTAATTTCATCATGTGTATGTATGTATGTATGTATGTATGCATGCATGCATGTATGTATGTAAGTAAGTATGTATGTATGTAAGTATGTATGTATGTATGTATGTATGTATGTATGTATGTATGTATGTATGTATGTATGTATGTATGCATGTATGTATGTATGTATGTATGTATGTATGTATGTATGTATGTATCTATGTATGTATGTATGTATGTATGTATGTATGTATGTATGTATGTATGTATGTATGTATGAATGTATGTATGTATGTATGTATGTATGTATGTATGTATGTATGTATGTATGATGTATGTATGTATGAGAACGCCATTAATTTAAACGAGGGTAGAGTGTTATTAAGTTAATTAAGTTTTCGTGTTTTATTTTTATGAAATGTTTCGCACATTCTATTTTTTCTAGCAAGGCTCTTTTCTAAATGAAACTATGCTAATTGGCGTTTAACCGACCGAATATGTATGTGTGTGTGTGTGTGTTGTGTGTGTTGTGTGCGTGTGTTGTGTGCGTGTTTGTGTGTGTGCGTGTGTGTGTTAGATTTGAGTGAGTCTCTTTCCATTGTATTTAAATAAAACATTTTAAGGGATGAACTAATTAAAGATCGTGCAAGTTTTGAAAAATTGAAACTGAATCTCAAATGTTGACTTGTTCCATTTTCTCTTTCTTTCTCTCTCTCTCTCTCTCTCTCTCTCTCCTCATTTTCTCCATCACACTATCGTCTGAGTATGACTTTAAATAGGCTGTTGTTTACTAACTTTAAAGAGGTTTCGACCCAAAAATATATTTAAAAAAATAAATAAATTATTTCGTATTGTTATTATTATAATTTATGATTATTATTATTGTTATTTTTTTATTATTATTTGTTGTTGTTGTTGCTGTGGTGATAAATGTTATTAAGGAGTTCAAAGGTCAAAGATTCATCTTTTGAATGGGGAAAAGAGAGATTCGCTACTAATCCGTTTATACTTTCAAAATAATAAAAAGAATAATAATAATAATAATAATAAGTTATAATAATAATAATAATTATTATTATTATAACTATGTGCATTCATAGTAGTTGCAATTATATTAAAAGATACGAATTTCGTATTCAAAACGATTAAACTTTGTTATTAATCATACTCTAATTCGTTCAATCATACTCTAATTCATTTATTTATTCATTCATTCATTTATTCATTCATTCATTCATTCATTCATTCATTCATTTATTCATTCATTCATTCATTCATTCATTCATTCATTCATTCATCCATCCATTCATTTATTTATTCCTTCATTCGTTCGTTCTTTCGTTCATCACGTGACTAATTCGCATTTCGCATCGTTATTTCCAAGTGAAGACTCTCCGAAGGGTATTTGGATGAAGAGGTGGAAGATGACGATGACGTCATAATTGACGTAGATTTTCTGCTACTTCTATGGCCTCTCTTTATCATATGCTTGCATTCTTCGCAGTTCACTTTTAAACGCGTGACGCCATTTTGAAGTTTCTTCATTAGAGAGTGCGGAAGTTGGATGTTGTATTTCCGGTTTATCGTTTCTACGACTACTAGGTTCGCTATGGTTATTTCTTCACTTGTTTCATCTTTGTTGCTGTCACAATTGTTGTTGTTGCTGTTGTTGTTGTTGTTGTTGACATCATCATTCTCATCACCATTGTCGTTGTTGTTGTCGATATTTCTGATGTTGTTGTCGTCATTGCTGCTGTTGTTGTTGCTGCTGCTGCTGCTGCTGTTACAAGAATCGCTAGTAAGAAGTAAAGTTACCTCAAACGTTACAAACTTTCGGCGTCCGGTTATAATTGTAAATGATGATGAAGATGATGAAGAAGATGAAGATGATGAGGAAGATGATAAGGAGGATGTGGAGGAAGAAAATTTTTTGTTGTTTTTTTTCTTCCTCTCATCTAAATTGAAGCACAGATCGATCCTAGCAATCAGACCGCTAAATAACGATATCATGTTAGTATTATTATTAATGTTGTTGTTGTTGTTGTTACTGTCATCAATGCTATTTAATGTTTTCCGCCAGACATTAACAATACTGAGCAGATTAAACTCAAATACGTTACCTGATCTGTAGCGAGATGGGTAGACAACATAGCCAGTGACACTGTCATTGTTATCTCGCGAAGCTGTGTGGCTATATATATCATTATTACTATTATTCTTTTTATTATTATAATTATAATTATTATAATTACTATTATTATTATTATTATTGATGTTGATGTTGATGTTTTTGTTGTCAATTTTTTGCGACCCAATTTTACTATGCCTCTTACCATCGGAGTCTGACTTCAGCCTGTTATAACCCGATTTTCTAAGTCTTTTGTCGTTATTGGCGCCATCATTAACGACAATGTTCTTATTATTTATAATAGTTCCATCATCATCATTATTATTATTGTTTTTATTATTATTATTATTTTTATTATTATTATTACTATTACTATTGATATTCTCAATCAAACCGTCGTTGAAAAATTCTCTCGCATCGCCTATAACTGTGTAATAGTTGTTGTCATCATTGTTGTTGTTGTTGTTGTTGCTGTTGTTGTTGCTGTTGTTGTTGTTGTTGCTGTTGTTGTTGCTGTTGTTGTTGTTGTTGCTGTTGTTGTTGTTGTCGTTGTTGTTTGTAGTTCTTATCTCGTGCAGTACAATGTGCTTTTTGCATCTCTGGAAAAAGTCGTCAAAATTTTCGCCAACATTATTGTTGTTGTTGTTGCTGCTGCTGTTGTTGCTGCTGTTGTCGTTGATGATGTAATTGTTGTTGTTGTCGTCTTTGATGATGTAGTTGTTGAAGTTATTGTTGTTCGTGCGATTGTTGGCAAAGACAAAAAATCTAAAATAGGCAATACATTCGCTCCTCTTCATATCTTGTAGTTTCATCTTTCGCATATGCCTGTCAGGTGTTGTTATGCATTTGCGAGTATGGCGAATGTGAGGTTCTGCCATGAACCGTGTGTAGTTATTGTATGTGGATTGTTGTTGCCGTTGTTGTATTGCTGATGTATGTAAATTGTTGTTGCTGTTGTTGTGTTTCTGAATGCTGCTGTATATCTTTAGGTATTTGTATCGTGATATAAACGTGTGAGAGTACAAACGATAAATGGAAAGTACAAACTTTTGGTATTCATCCAGCCCAGCGCGTTTCAATCTCTTAAGAAAAGGATTCCGTAGAATTTGTGAAGATGTTGTCGTTACTGTTGCTGTGGTCGTCGTCTTTGCTGCTGTTTCTGCAGCTGCTTCTGCAGCTGCTTTCGTTGATTTGAAGATGTTTGCTACTGTTGGCAAAGCAAATGCTGTTATTGGTAGTTTAATTGATACAAGTTTCTTATTTTCAAAAGTGATTGTTGACGACGTCGTTGTCGTCTTTGATGTTGTTGTTGTCGTTGGTGTTGTTGATGTTAATAAGTTTGTTGATGTTGTTGTTGTTGAAAAATTGGTTGATATTTTTATATTACCATCTACAACCAGTCCAAAATTAAAAAGGACTATAGCAAATAAGAACATTGAAACAGCCCTAAACATGTTATTATTATTGTTGTTGTTGTTGTTGTTGTTGACGATGTTGTAGAAGATGAAGTTGATGACAACATTGTTGCTGTTGATGTTGTTGTTGATTTTGTTGCCGCAACATTTTGCTCCAATATACTTTAGATTTCATCAACTATGTTGAATTTTTTTTCCAATGTTTTATTACCATCATAGAAGTTGGTGCAGATTAAAAGCTTATCACTTCACATGGATGAAAAATGATTGGGTATGAACGGTAATCGTTATCACATTTTAATATTCGTACCATAAAAACATACATTCATACATACATATGTACGTACGTACGTACATACATACTACATACATACCTACTTACATACATGCATGCATGTATGTGTGCATACTTACATTCATACATACATACATACATACATACATACATACATACATACATACATACATACATATACACACATACATAAATACATAAATACATACATTCATACATACATACATACTTTGCGAACCATTTCATTACAGTTGCCTGGTTCGAGTCAAAAAGAATAATGAAAATGATAATAACAATATTGATGAAGGATGAAAAGTACTGATAATGATAATAATAATAATAATAATAATAATAATAATAATAATAATAATAATAATATAATAATAATAATAATAATAATAATAATAATATAATAATAATATAATAATAATAAGGACATTGAACTCAGCACAGTTCATATTTATATTGACTGATTGATAAGTTGGGATGTCAATATTATTTGTTTATTTTTTTTACAAAATTAATTTGACGATCACGCGAACGAATGAATGAGTGAATGAATGAATGAATGAGAGAATGAATGAGAGAATGAGTGAATGAATGAATCGATGAACGGACGAATGTGTATGGATATATGAATAAGTGAATGAATGAATGAACAAATGAAGGAGGACAAAAAGAATGAAAGAAAATCAATAAATCTGAAAAAAAAATTAAATTAAAACGCGGTTGACTTAGTTTTTTAACCATTTTTAACTTTTTACATCATTTTTAAGTTGAGAAAAAGTAGTATACATGATACATGTGCAATAACACGCACACACGCGCCCACAACACGCACACGCACACACAACACGCACAACACACACGCGCAAACTTGCATACATACGTACATACTTACATTCATAATTTTTGTAAAATTTTTATAAATGAACGCTTTATTGGATGACGAACGGGAGTATGAATGAATGAGTGAATGAATGAAAAAACGAATGAAGGAATGAAAGCATGATTGATTGAATAACGCGCACATGTCGAAAGAAGAAATGATATCTACATTCCATCATTGTGGAAATAACAATACAAGTCGAAATTTTTTTCATCATATTTCATATCAGTGTTAGCTAAGTCCCGTATGTAAAAAAAGATTGATAGAGAAAGAGAAAGAGAGCGAGAGAGAGAGAGAGAGATAGAGAGAAAGAGGGAAAGAGACAACGACAAAAAATATACGTGCATGTGCAGATGCAGACATACACCACATGCACACATACACAAATACACACAAACATACTACACATACACGCATGCATACACTGCACATATACACACACATGCCTATGCATATATACAGGTACATGTACACATACAAGCATACTATTAATATTTATTCAGCATTTTTACAACTAACTATTTTTCAATAACGAATTATCTTCAGTATCGTCATCTTCGTCATCTTCTTCGTCATCGTCATCATCTCTTTCACAAACGATTTCTCATAACAGCAGCAGAGCAGACAGTTATTAAACTATTTTTTTAATAACATCATCATTAAATTTCTAACTAAACCATTTCACTAGTCTTGTCTAGTCTATAGACCTTTCTAATTCTTAAATAGAAACCAATCCGTCTAGACATTCAGTATTCTAAGCTATTAATAGCCAACATGTCTAACTATTTTAGATTGTTCCTAGACTAGACTAGACTAGACTAGACTAAAGAGACTAGACTAGACTAAACTAGACTAGACTAGATTTAAAAAGAACGGAAAAGATCAAACATAAGGCAAAATCTCATCTTTCGAAACATGAACCAAACCTACAACAACATCAACCACAACAACACCAACCACAACAACATCAACCACAACAACATCAACCACAACAACCACAACAACATCAACCACAACAACATCAACCACAACACCATCAACCACAACAACACCAACTACGATAACAACAACAACAGTAGCAAGGCAACAACGACAACTACAGGATAATAATCTAATTATACTAAACCCTAGATTTTAAAAAAAAGTAAAAAAACATTCTGCACTGATAGTAGTATAGGTTAGTTTAAATGGAACGTTAATGATAAACCTAGATAACTTATTTAAATCACTTTTCTGAGAATAAAAAGCCATTTTTTACTCTTGAAATGTAGATATTCACGTTGCAATACATCACAGAATTAAAAAAGTGTGTTTAAAAATGGAGAAAAATAATTATATTAACGCATCCATAATTTTACTAATAAATGCTTTTTGTTGCTGTACAAAGGAGTTCTATCGCTTAGTCAATTTATTTTATTGCATTCTGCTACTTTATTGAATTGTAATGATTTAATAAAACGTTTTATTGCAAATATTCCCTGCTTTTTATGTATTCAAATTCAATTCAATTCAAATAAACTGTTATTCAGCAAAAAGAATACAGCACTTGGAAAACCGAAGTTACTGCTTGTAGAGCCACCAAAACAGAAATTTGAGCCAAAAATTTGAACAAATATATGTATAATACTGAGGATGATAAGGCAAGGCTATAATTTTCAAAAAATATTATCGTTTGTTTCTAAGTTATCTTTTTTATTTATTCTCTTTTTTTTTGTATCCGCGATACGCAAATTTTTTAAATGTTTATTTTTAAATTTTCAAAGTGGCTTCTGCATTTCTTTTTTAAAATCAAATTTTGGAGATAAATTCTCATTCATTGAAATTTTTATTCTATTAATATTCATATTCATATTTTTTGAAAATTTATTTATAAAACTATATTTTCAGAAACAAAATTACTTTAATTATTAATTTAATTTTTTAATAAGTTGCTTGCTGGTATGGGGCAAGCTCAAGACCAAGAGACACAATTCAAAAAACCAGAATGAAAAACCAAATTTCTCATTTTATTTTTTTACTTCGCGGATGTTTCTATATTGAAATTTAAAACATTAACTAAGATAATGAAATCGACGACAGACCAAATGGTCAAGTCAGAGTCAGAAATTGTAGAAAGTCCAACAGCAAGCATCAGAGGGGTCTGATATAATTTCTTTACTTATTAATTGCATTACTAATTATGTTTCTACTTAATTAAATGCTCAAAATAATCTAAATTTAGTATTAATTATAGTGCAATTTGTATTGCATATATTGATTAAATTACTAAATGTTCTATAAAAGTTATTTTTTAAACTTGAAAATTATATTTTTAATTAAAAACTATCATTTTTTTTAATATAATTAATAACTTTGTATTTATTAACCTTCTTTTTAAGATATCTGTGCTGTTTGGCTCATTTGGCAGAAGGAAAAATTCTTCAAGGGCAAAGAAAATGCCTCTATCCAAGATTTATGAAAAAGTTTTCAACCTTTTCATTAAAAATCAGGTTAGCTATGCTAGTAACAAAATATCATTATTATTATTTCAATAACAAATATTCATTTATAATTATATATATATATTATATTTAGAAAAAATAGTTGTCAAATTAAAATAAAAATAATTATATTATAAACATTATAAAGTTTAGATATATTTATATCAAAATGTCATCACCTAATAATCACTAATCTATTTTGCTGTAGGACCCAGTAACAGGCCTAATTCCACAGCCTAACAATCAGGAGATTGCTAGCGCGCATGATAATGTCTACGCTGCTCTCACCCTTTGGTCCCTCGCCATCTCGATCTCAAAAAATTCCAACCTCTCTTCCAATCATAAAAAATTACCTGCCGATCTTCTGAAGGTTATCTTTTGCTTTGTGTTAGATTTTATTTTAAAAATCTTTGTTTTTTGTGTTTTTTTTTTTAATATTTAGTTTTTGGAATTCTATATTCCATGTTTGATTCTAAAGAGGAACTGAATATTTATATGGAAATCTCAAAAACATGTGTTAACTGAACAACTTTTTTTTGAAAATTCCTGAATTAAATCCTTTACCAGATGTCAAAGAAAATGATGTTGTCTGTGCTGGCTGGTTTTGAAGCCCAGGTAAAGCAGAAAGATGAAGCATACAGCAAGCACTTTCCTGGGGTTGATCCTTTTGTTCACCTTGATCTTACAACTGGCCGACCAATGGAAAATTCTGGATCATCCCTTATCAACCAATTAGAGTGTGGACCGACCAAAATTGAAACCGTAGCTTTTTTTCTATTGGTCCTTGCTCAAATGCAAGCAGCTGGTTGGTTATTGTTACTTTCTTAATCTTGTTCCATTATATTGTATGTTGTTACACGATATTGCATGTTAAAGTTATATATGGCGTTATATTATACTGTATGTTTTATTATGCTTTCATAAACCAAAGGCTTCAAAATCATACAATCCTTTGATGAGGTTTCTGTCATCCAGAATTTAATCTTCTACATTCAGTCTATCTACTTGAGGGTTGTTAGTAATCACGTTATTTCTTTTTACCTTCATTCAATTATTCATCCACTCATTCATTCATCCACTCATTCATTCACTTTTTGAAGCAGTTAGTGTACATTGAATTATGAATATAATTTAACTGGAATAGATATAAATACACAATCTCAATTGTAACTTCTTAATGTTGTTGGTTGATATCTTTAAATTTGATTCGCATTTTACGGAAGGACATATGATATCTTTAAATTTGATTCGCATTTTACGGAAGGATACATGATATTTTTAAATTTGTTACGCATCTTACGGAAGGATACATGATATCTTTAAATTTGACACACATTTTACGAAGGGATATATGATATTTTTAAATTTGATACACATTTCATGGAAGGATACAGACGTAGATAGCATACATGATCAGATCAAGTTTGATGACACTTCAATGAGAGTATCAACCCTTTTCATGATTAAGGTGATAGCTGATATCTTTAATTAAATTTTTTCAATTAATTAATTTTTAAATAATTAGTTTATTAATTTATATTTTCTTAATAATTTATATTATTTTTATTAATTCTTCTAGGCTGTGCTTTACTCCTTTACCATACTGAATAGTAGCAAGCAGAAATTTGGCCAGTACAGTGTGGAAGCATTTCATTACGAGGCTATACAAGCTAAGGTATATGTATATGTTTCATTTTGTATGTATGTATTTCTATGTGTATGCGCGTGTGTGTGTGTTTGTGCGCGTGTGTGTGTGTAATTTAGTAATGATAAAATGAGGAAGTTAATATTATTGGTGATAATGAATGAAAATAAATAAATTTTTTTACTCCCAGCTAATGTTGAAACATTTAGTCGGTAAAGTTATTTCATTGAAGGTAGGTAATTTAATGATCTCTCATTCATTCATTTATTCATTCATTCATTCTTTCATTCATTCATTCTTTCATTCATTCATTCATTCTTTCATTCATCTATCTACCTATCTTTTCATTCATTCACTAATTTATCCTATGCCCCAGTGGTTCAATCCTAATGCAGCTGGTTTGACGTCGTTTCCATTTTTTGCCGTGACCAAGCAAGACGTCAAAGAAGTTATTGAGAAATCGTTTTTTGAAAAAGTGTGTCGTCGTCGTTGTTGTTGTCGTTGTGTGGCTGCTGTTGCTGCTGCTACTGATATAATGGTTTTGTTGGCGTAAATTTTATTGAAGATATAGCATGAGTTTTTCCCTAAGTTACTCTGTTAAGTTCCTCTTTATTGTCATCTTCTTATCAATATCATCGTCTTTATCATCTATGTCATCAACTATATCATCTTCATCATCGTCATCTTCATCACCATCTTTTTAATCATCTCCATCATCGTCTATATCACCATACCTCCACGCCAATAACAATGGAGCAGTACAAAGATGAAGATGCCTCATCAAAAGTTTCAGCGGATTTTAATAAGGATAAGTTTGAAGTTTATACCTACCTATGTCTCAGTCTTCTCTTCTCCGATGATCAGCCTGCAGTATGTAATGATGTGATGATGACGACAATGATGATGATGGTGGTGGTGGTGTTGATGATTTGGTCGCCAGTTTAGCTACCATGGTTATGTTTGACAGTCATTTTTAAGGTAGAGAAAAGTTTAAAAAATTCTTTTGTGGAATCAATGACTCCGTACGTGATAATAATGATAAAAATTATATTAAATTATAATAAAATAATAATTTTCGTCGTCATCATCTTCAGGCTTTCCTACACAAGACATACTTGGACCACTTTATGAATATGGCCGTTGATAATTTCTACAAAGTTGATAATTATGGCTATAATTATATTAATAATAATTGTTATTATACTTGAGTAAAGTTTATTATATTTTATTATAATTATTATATTTTATTATTATTCTGCTTCTTACTGTTTTCAAAAAATTTGTAGTCTTACTGTCGTTATTAAAGTTGTTATTTTTTGCTGTTGCTATTGTTGTTGCTATTGTTGTTAATTATTGATTTAATCATTCGACATTGGAGGTATTTGAAGAGTCAACTGGTTCTGACAACAGCTTCTCCTATGTAACATGCCAGTCACTAAACATCATCATCTCACTGATCAGTAACGTTAGTTTTGTTGCTCAATTCGTCATCATGCGTACGTACAGACATACGTACACACATACATAAATACGTACACACATACGTACATACATATATACACATGTCTACTAGAGATATCTAGAAGCCAAGCATATAGATTCGCTCAACCTATCCAATTTGTTGGTAGAATCTAAAGAGAAATACCAAAAGAATAAAGAGATTCAAGGCTAGTTAGAATTTTTATACTTTTACTTTCTCTCTCTCTCTCTCTCTCCCTCTCTTTCTATCTTTTTCTCTTTCTTTCTAGCTCTCTATTTAGCTATCATTGTACGATATTGTTAGCCAATAATTATTTTTTAATTATCATACTAAATATATTAATTTCAATTTCGTAATTGTCTTCAGTTGTGTTACTGACAAAGAGCAGAAGTACACAGATGCTGCTGAAGAAGCACAAGATAGTGTCGCAGCTTTATTCAGAAGTCGGGAAGCATTACAAGATTCTCTCTGACGACGTCCTGCAAACTCTCTTGTTGTGCCTAGGTTTTTTTGGTTTTCATTTGTTGTCTGTCTGTTTGTCTTTGTCGTCTTTGAAACATTTTTTCACGAATTACAAAAGTTATAAAGGCAACAAGACAATAACCAAACGACATAAAAACATCCAGAGAGCAGCATGCAAACGCCAACAACACACACGCAAACAAAACACTTGAATCTTGAACGTGCATGCAGCATGTGACATGAAAGAAGAGTTGAAATCACTGGCTACCACCTCTCAGACGGACGGTTCAAATTATCGGAGGAGAGAGTTACTTTACAAACGAAGTCCCTCCAACGTAATCTATACAGGCCAGCTTTACTCAATAAGAAATATTCATCTTATATTCATTCCTAGGGTGGGTAGGTTGATGATGAAGATGATGTGTTTCCAACAATAATAATCATGATGATGATGATAATGACATAAACTCACTTCATTAACTTATTCATCCACCATTCAGTCACTCATCCATCTATTCAATCACTCGTTTATTAACTCAATGAATTATTAAATCGTCATTCACTCATTTATTCTTTCACTCACTCACTCACTCACTCACTGATGAAGATTATGGAGAGGCAGTCTTGTTATCTGAACCATGACGTGCGAATGTACTGTGATCTCGTTGTTAACAATTTAAAATTTCTAAGCAGGAACTGGATGTCCAATAAAAATTCACTGTTCTTCCTTCCGGTTTATAATTTATGCAATGGTTGGTTGATTGATTGGTTGGTTGATTGGTTGATTGATTGATTGGTTGACCTGGATTCGTAGACCACTTAGATTGTTTGGTTGGTTGAATTGCAATCTGTTTGAAGTAAAGAATGAATGAATATGCATGATTTATGAATGAATAGATAGATGAATGATTGAATAAATAGATGAATGAATGAGAAAAAATATTTCTACGAAGGCGAAAACCCGTCAATTCCATCGGACTTGAATCGTCTCTTTAAAAAACTTCAAAGTGGGCTTGTGGGCGGAGTCAGGTTATGACGATGATGATTAAGATGATGATTAAGATTATTATTATCATCGTCATTTTTACAAAAATAGAGTGAAACTAACTAAGATGCCGAGGTCGCCTGATTCCTTCCTGGTCAGTAACCTTGACCTTCTCGCCGGCAGCAAACGCGAGGGTTGTTAGGTTTTTAATTTTAGTTTACGATGATGAAGATGATGAGAAGGATGATGAGGGCGATATGGATTATGATGATCATTGCAATCATTTCTACCGAGCACCACAATCACCCACCCATACACACAACACATCCACATGAACACACACACACACACACATACAAAAAAAACAAAGACATCACACATACTCTGACATTTAGCGAAAGAATTTCTATCCGTGATATCCTCACTCTCCGATTTCTCATACGACAACGCTAAGAATGTTTCAAATTGGAGTTCAGGAAATGTCAGCTCCGTACCTACGGCCGACGTGGCCATCTCCTCCACTTCTCCTCCACCTCTGAACCTGACCTCTTCCACGCAATCATCTCCTACTGACGATCAATCACAGGCCGTTAAAATGAAATTCTTCAACAATGAGGTCAAACAGGTCGAAAATGAAACTAAAAATTCACTAAATTCTGGAATTGATCAGCTGTTAAAACAACGTCTTGTTACACTCGCAAACACTACAGCCACTGGCACCGATGCTGATGCCGCCATTAATGACGGGAAGACTGCTTCCAGTCCGGATAAAAAGATCTCGCCAGTTGACGGGGCAGGAAATCCTGCTAACACTACATTAACTTCTCAGATAACTTCAGCTTTGACAAACGCAATTTCGAGCCAGCGAACAAATGAGCAAGTTCAATCGGTCGCACAGCCGACTAACGTTGTGCCGGTCGTTCCAGAGGGGGGAAAGAAGTTCTCAGAATCTGCCGTCACGACGGCTTCCAGTTTTTCACGGTACGCCGTCAGTAGCCACTCGACTGAAAGTTTCAACAACTTACTGAGGAGCATGGATTATCAGGATGATCTGAAGCACAAGTGGCTCAGGATTGACGTCAACTGGCTGCCAGAGCAGATCATCGATTTCGTCATCACCAACAGTTAGTAGTGTCGTGCGTCTATCTGTCTGTCTGTCTGTGTGTGTGAATTTAATTTATCTAGCAATCAATTTTCAAATGGCACGATCGATGATTCCAGCTGACATCAACGAATCAACCTTCCCAACCGAAGAGGAGTGCGTTCATTTGTTGAAACTCTTTGACTCGTCAAACAATTACATGGAGCGAGCTCATATACTCCACAAACTCTACTACTCCAGGTTCGATTGTATTGTGTGTTTAAGAAGCACTGTACTCTCTGTCCTATTGACCAAATACCGTCGCATTCAACCTATCTAAATGTTAAACACACCCTACTTCTTTTTTTCCTAATTTTAGAGGAATAAACTGGCATCCCAATCTGGAAGATTCGGGACTAAACATGACCGTGAGGGATGCGCTAACGGAAATGTACCGGATGTCCGGGGTGTGGCAGATTTGGTGGATGGTGAGGTTTTGTGGTGGGGCCATTGGAGTTCACCTGAATAACTTGAGCGTGGCGGTTTCGGATATTCTCACCAGGAGGCACAAGCAACTGATCGTTGGCTGTGCCTCTAACAATAAAATTGTCATTGCAAAGTTTGTTTCCTACTGATGCATTTGACAAACATACACACATATACATACACACACACATATACGGATGTTTTTGTATATCACACATACAGACCCTATCGAGATTTGGATATCAAATCGATCATTAACATCGTATCTAGAAATAATCCATTTATGATCTGCCTAATACAAGTTAGTCTTCTCCAAATTTATACACACACTCACTCATTGCACGTATCAGGGCATAGATATACTACTCCTATTGTAATTCGAATTATTATTAAGAATATTGCAAAAAATGTTATAATTATTGAAGGAAATTATAGTGTACGTCTGGATGATATACCAATACAATTCAGTAGTCGTCGATCAGCTGGTCTGCATTGACGTACAAGCACTGTACCAGGCCATGATAACTGATTTGTGTATTAGATTCGACTGCAACGGTTGGATTACAATTATTATAACTATAATAATTATTATTATAACTATAATAATAATTATTATAACTATATTATAAAATATAGTTATTATTATTACGATAATAATTATTATTATAACAGAGGTCATGGCGTCGATTTACATGGGATGTCTGAGTCCCTTTGAATTGAAATGCTACATCGAGGCAACCCTCAAAGGAACTGAAATTACCAAGGCCATCGATATATGTTGGTATATGTACGCACACCTACCCTGTATATACACATACATACAGAAACACACACACATATATATATATGTATTAATTTTGTTTTCTTTCTAGTTGAGCTTGGTCAAAATTTAACCACGCAAAAAGATTCGGTTAGTATTATTAGCTTACCAGCCTTACTTTCTTCGTCATTATCATTATGGCCACCATCTTAACTATGGTCATTACCATCATCACGACCCCCACCACCGTCATTATCATCACCATCATAATGGCCAGGGCTTTCTGGAGCACATAGATACGTACACTCAGAAGGGGGTGTGGATGAGGAGGAGGTCTGTGGACGGCACGCTTATGAGGCTCCCTGACGAATTCATTGAAAACGTGTGGGACCTCTTGAGAGTTGTACGTTTAATACGCATCACTTACATGCAGATATAATGAACAATAACTGACAAGAAAGTTTACATCCTCCATACATTTCACGTAGCAAAACAAAATGAAACACCCACCCACAGTGCAAGGGACTTTCGTTTGATGGCCACCTCATCAAGCCGGAAACTACCGACAGGGTGGGTACTTGAATATTTTCCAGACAACATTTAATCGATTAATCAATTAAATAATTAATTTCAATGATAATAATGCTAAAATCGAATAAAAATTGAATTAAAAATGTGACAGTATGGCAAATACAATTTGAACTTCACGGCCGTCTTGTACGCGACACTGCACTTCATAAAGCCTCCTGAGTATCTGCAACTGCTGATAGAGGCCACGTATCTGCTGAGTTCCCTGGCTAAAAATAAGAGGATTAAGATGAACGTTAAGAAGGTTATAAATGTTAACGAGATAGTCGTCGTCGCCGTCAATTTGTTCCTCAGACAGCAGGTTATTGTCGTTCAGTTTGTATACCATATTACCTCGAACTGTTATTTTTAAGATGCATTCTGCTTGCTATTCAATATCATTCAAAGACACTATTAAATTAACCACTAAATCATGTGATGGCATTATTTTATCTATAGTATATCTAACAATATGACTCATCGCTAAAATTAAGAAAAAAAATTCCTTACAAAAAACCCACCGACGTAGAATGCAGACAGGATGAAGACATGTTGCACCCCTTCGAAGAACATCCGCAAGCCGTCGGTGCCCGTCGACTCTGCCTGCAAAACGAGGGGAGGGGTTTGCTACCACTTCTATGACTCCAGTCCGACAGGAGATTTTGGTACCATGGCCTATTTCACTGATGCCATATTGGCATTGCACACAGAAGTCGGAAGAAATATTTAGATTTGTGTGGATATGTATACATTATTATAAGTTTATATATCATATTTATGTGTATATATATATATATATATATATATATATATATATATACTCATATTTTAAACTAACAATACTTGAAAATGTATATATGAGTTGCCACAACCATATTAAATGCACTAAACATGATTTAAGTCAATTAAAATGAGACATTACAATGTATCTGGCGTTTTAAAGAGTATAAGAGAAACAAAACGACGAATGACAAAGGCAGACACGTGCGAGGAGAAAAAATAATGCGGGTGAAGTGTTAAAAATGGGAAACACACATACAAAGAACACATATGTTCATAAAAATAGGAGAAACACACATACAAAGAAAACTATATACAAATATGTTCGTTAAAAATAAGCGACAGCTATTGTGACTGGCGGGTGACTCAATCATGATGTCAAGCACCGACAAAGTAAACAAATCCTGATCTACTGACACCTATCCTAACATTTTGAACATCTAAGCGAAATTATGAAAACATTTCATAGAACCGCACCTAAAATAAACTTAAGCAAGAAAAAGCTCTTTGAAACACAATTTCAATAACAAATTTGTAATTAAATTCGACATGCAGTATGTATTATGATTACAATTACACAATAAATTAGAAGTTTTCGTTTTCATTGTACGCTATCGAACCACCACCAAGAATGGAATAGAAAGGTGAGTCATGTTTATGATGAGTGTTTGTTGGTGTACGTAGAATCGTTTGAATTGCGTGCGAAGTGTGGTGGTGTGTTTTTCTGTGTTCGCGTGTTTTGTATTAGCGCGTGTAATGTTTGGATGTGTTTTGTTTGAGTGTATGTATACCGTGTCAGATATGTTGTATGTTAACGTCTTTGTCGGTACGTGTGTATGTGAGTATGAGTGTATTTATGTGTATGCGTGCATGTTTTTAAATATGGTGAGAGTACGTTTATAAATAGGTGTGCATATATGCATGTAAATCGAAATTGTTCAATTTCATTCAAGCTTTCCTTCATTCTCATCACCACCATCAACGTATTCATCCTTAATTTCTTCTCCTTTCTCCCTATCTTCATCACATAGTGCTTCCAGTTGCAACAGGCTGTTGTTCCATCTTGTAAATTGTAATGATAACAAGCTGATCTGTCGTACAGTTTTGTAATACAACATTTTGAAGTAACAGTATTAGGAATATTTAATTATAAATATTTAATTATTATAATACAGTTGAAATATATACTAAGGAATTCATACTACATGACGAATAGATACAAATACATACTAATGAGTTGTAGTGAGAAATCAGTGCAGTTGTGTCTTGGCTGAGTTGATCAACTTGCTCCTCTTGTTGGAGATGGATCTTGCTCAGTGAGTACAAGGAACTCTGCAAGCCTGGCACAACTTTTTATGAGGCAGAAAAGTATTTCATCAATCTGCCAATCAATCAACCAACCATCAAATGCTCAATCAATTAATCAACCATCAAATACTTAATCAATCAGTCAATTAATTAATGGAAAAATTTAATTTAAAAGAACCTTTGATGTGTTCACTGCCTAGAACATCACACATTGATTCAACTTTTTCCAATGCAGATGCTTGCTCCAACAGTATTTTTTTCACTAAAAAGGTGTTGTGTAAAATTTATTTAAGCATGTTTGTATGTGTGAATGTTTTTATGTGCGTGTAAATAAAGTAATGGTTTACTTGGCAATATGAGATTCAACTTTGTCTCCATTGAAAGTGCCTGGGTCTCAACATGACTGAATTCTAAATCCTTGTCTAACTCTTTAACTGTTTTATGTTGTAATAGATCATTTATTTATCTTATTGAGACAAAAGCATGTTTTCAATTTGATTTAATTAATAAAATTTCATTATCTAAATTTTTGCAAACAGAAGTGTATACAATATAAATTTCAATTGTTATGTAAATTGTAGAAAGAAATAGCCAATGCGAAATTAGTGTTGGGATGATAAGAAGTTTTATTCTCTCACTGAATAAATTAGCAACCAAAAATAATTCACTAACTCCTAGCAAAGAGAGACTCAAGACCAGGTTTTCCAATCACAGTGGTGTTGACCAGAGAATTTAAAGAATTTATACTTTCTGTTATCTGTGGCGAAATTAATTAAATAGTATAAAACATTATTGCTAGTTAATTTTTATATAAAAATAATTAAGTTAAGCCAAAGTGAAATTTTAAATCTTTTTGAAATTTTTTCAAAATGACAGGCAAGACAAGAAAGGAAAGACAAACCTTCAGGTATTCGTCATCAGGGTTTAATTTTCCAAAAATTTTTTTCTCAACTTCTTTCAATCTTTCGTCAAGTTGTTCAATCATTTTCTTAAATTAATAGGACGACTAACTTTTAGTCAAAATTTAAAAAAAAATGAGAAAACTGTAGCTGCTTAACAACTTAACTTTTAAATGGAACGTGGGATAAGCTGACCACATAAATTTGTTCACGAAACAAAAAAAATTTTCAGCTAAACTTTTTACATTTTTAATAGTAATGACTTCAATTCATAATAAAAGCTAAAATTTGTTCAATATTTTAAGAAATCAAACTAAAAATAACTCGAAAATACATCAAAATCTGAGTTTAATTAGCTCAATTGTTAAGTTTAGCAAATTTACAACTCTACAGTCAATCAGTTGGATAATCACAAAATATATCGTTCAGCAAAACAGTACAAAACAACAAAATTAAATCAGTTTTCTTTGAAACTGACTGACCTAAAAATAAATAAAACTATAATTAATAATAATTTCATCAATATAATTTTCAATTTCACTATAGTTTATAAAAATTTAATTAAATTTATCATATAATTACTTGTTGTTGTGATTACCGGTGTTGTGAAATTCGTAAAATCGCAAATGTCCGGGTAGTTAACTTTAAAGGTGATTTTTAAAATATTTAAACCATTGAATTAATTATATTTATGGTTTAATTCAATGATTGAGTTATTATAATAAAATGATCGAGTAGCATTCAAATCATACATTTATCTCCTTCGTCATCTGATGTTCCGTCTTGTTTCAGGTTGGGTTGAGTATGGCAAGACGTTATTCATTATTTAATTAATTAGTTTAATAAAATATAAGTTTAAAAATAAATGATTAGTAATTAATTTTAATTATGTGTAAATAAATAATTAATAAAAAGGTGGAAGAGATTACTGAAGTCTTCGTTATTTTCAGTAGTATTGCTATCTTCTGATGCATCTATTCCACAATATAATTGTATTTAATCAAAAAATTTCTAGCAAATCATCATCTATTAACATCATCATATGGATCTCACACTACTATTGTATTAATGTACCCACGTGCGTTACAATCAATCATTCAATCAACCAATCTTTTGCTTAATTTATTTTTCGATTCATTTTTTCATTCGGTAAATCATTCATTAATCTATTCATTCATTCAGTTACACGGTTTCCAGCCGATCACATAATGGAATAACTCTTCCATAGAATGTTTTCCAATAAATCACCCAACCAACAATGTCATAATAACGGACCTCTGTTGACAGTGACGATCCCCGTCCAGTTTGCCACGAAAGTTATAATGTATATGGAGGCACTTGCCACACAGACGCATTCGTAGGCGCCACTCTTGTAGAATTTTATCCTCAGGTAAGCGACTTTGGTCTTTGTTTGGCGTAACTCGCTCGAGAATGTCCGACCATCGTTGTCGACTTTGGAGCACGTGAAATTAAATTTTGACGGTACCGGATTGCCAATTGCGGTGCAGAGTATTGTACTGTTTCGTTCGACTTTGGTCTTACTCATTGTTACGTTACGTACTGAATCTTAACAAAGAAAATTACGTTCATTTAGATTTTTTTTTTTATTTATCTACAGATTTTTTTAATTTTTATAAAAAATCTAACAAAAATATATTAATTTCGTGTAGGTAGTTTTTGTGAATGTGAAATTCAACCCGTCGACGACTTTCAAGACGAAGACTTCGCAAGAGATATTATCCTTGACTTTATCGAAAGCTGCCGGAGCTTCGGCATCAATAATTATGAACATGTTTTCATTCCTCTCAAGCTTATGGAAAAAGTCTTTCGAGCCGAGGACAACATCTCCTCTTCTTAACGTTATAGACGCCTTTTTAATGTTTGCGTAACGGCCAGCATTGCCGGTTAATATGCACTTAAGCTTCCCCACTGACCCCAGACCTTGGCTCGCAGGGCCAGTGCAAGTGGCTCGACTTTCGAATGTAAATTCTGTAATTTTACAAAAATTATGTACTTTCAGACATTTTTATTACATTTTAAATAAAAGAAAACGAAGAATCGAGCCTAAAACGCTTAGAAATTTTTAAAAATTGCTAAAATAAATATTCAGAAAAGAACACTAACCCAAGTCGACGAACCACCAATACAGAAAGACTTTACTATAGGGACATCTGAAGACTCCATACAGCTCCTCTTTCGTCTGTTCCTCCATCGGGGTCCAGGTGTTATTAAAACAGGGCGGTGGATGCTTCTTCATGTTCGCCTGGTTCAGCACTCGTATGTCGACGCCCGTTATGTTAGTAGGACAGACGACCACTGCTCATCAACATTGCAAGGATCGGGTAGGTAGATTAAATTATAACTACTAGTAGTAAAAGTAGTAGTAGTATAGTAGTAGTAGTAGTAGTAGTCGTAGTAGTAGTAGTAGTAGTAGTAGTAGCAGTAGTAGTTATAAAATCATTATTACTTTTGAAAAATTATTAAACAAAATTATGAATAAGAAATAAATATGTACCTGGAATGATGTATAGAACCGAACATAGTAACATTACTGTGCTTGAAAACATCAGCATAATCGATCTTATATATAGTTTGTCCCTAAAAATTTAAACCCTTTGTTATTGTAAGCCAAATTAGGACAAATTGATTGTAATAAATAATATTTATTCATTTTTATTTATTTATTTATATTTTTCAGTTAACGATTCCTGACGTGGGACATAAGCAATAGGACGACAAATAAAAACAAAACAAATGATAAATCTTTTTTCTATTTCGTCAAAACACATTTCAACAAAAAAAAACGAATTTACCAAATTAAACACCTTGCTGTGTAAATCGTCAATCAATTAATCAATGAGTCAATTAATTAATCATTCATTCATTCATTCATTATCTATACGCGACTCCAGCCAAGCGTGCAAGGCGAATCCATAAAATTGTGAAGATGTAATAATTTTGAAATATCGATAGATCTAGAAAAAATATTTTTATTTTGTTTTTATAATAACAATAATAATGATAACAGTTAATTATTTATTTATTTAATTGTTAGCTGGTGATTTTAATATACACGTTGAAAGTTATTATTTATAATTTAAAATTATAAAGTTATTAATTGTTAGCTGGTGATTTTAATATACACGTAAAATTAATTATTATAATTTAATCTGAATTTCGGATGTTTCGCGGTATTTCTAGGTTCAGACGTGAAAGTATCGTCGTAAGCGCCTGTCCCCTCATCTACTAATTAAAATAATGTAATAAAATAGTTATGCTATTCTTAATAAAGGTATTAACATTAGTAATAATGAATAGCCATACAAATCAACAACACTGAACACGAGGCGGGCCAGCGGTGTAGTCAGAAATTTTGTCGAGAAGTCTAAATTGGTTTGAAAGAACCTGACCACCTTCTAAATATTATTCAATTTTTAACGAATTTCACTATCAAACAGCCAGGGTTCTCATTTAAAATTTACCTTAATTTTATTGCTGTGGAAGGGACTTAAATCGGTTTCAGGTTACTAATTTTATAAGAATTTAAGAATAATTTATTTGACATTTTATTAGTGTTAGTAGATTTTTCCACATTTATTCTTTCAAATTTGCTGTTTTCTTTCTTTTAAAGTTAAACTTTACATTTTTAGACTTCGATTTTTATTTGATAACAGTAGTAGTAGTTGTCTCGATTACAGATATACTTCGTATTTAATTCCGTTTCAAAATCTATGGTCTTGATCGGAGTCTGCATCTTTGGCGGGCCGATCGAGCAAAATTAACAGTGTCTATACTTCAATTCTAGTAAGCTAACATACGGCTCCAGTAAACCCCTTTATTATTTGGTCAATAATAGGCAAAAGAAACTATAATATCTATCTATACTTAATTAGCTATAATTATAATTATTAAAAATAAAACAACTTCAAATGAAACTATGAAATGAGAAGAGAGAGGGGGAGAGAGAGAGAGAGAGAGAGAAAGAAGAGAGAAAGCAAGAGACATTTGTAACTAGGTCAATATCTACTAGGTAAATAAAGATGTGTTATTGAAATAACAAACAGTTAGATGAGCCATTGAATAATTAAGTGTTAATAAATAAAAACAAATAATAATTAATTATTAATAAATTAATTAATTATTATTATTATTATTAACAACAATAATAATACAAATAATTATAACATAAGTAATAATAATAATAATATCAGCGATAATTACAAATAAAAATTAAATTAGCTTGAAAACAAATGCTGATCATATTGAAATGAGCCAAACATCAACTAAACAAAAATATAAAAACACGTCCTGCGTACATAACTGACGATGTATACATAGACGCAAATATTCAGGAATAAAAAAAAACATATAACCACCATAGTCGTCATTCTTACATTAACCAAAATATACAAATCATTTCCTCTCATCACCATCACCATGGCGTCGTTGTTTTCATCGTTATCAACGTCATCTTCATCATCTTCATCATCATCATCATTATTTCCGTAGATACATTCATCACTTTCATCATTATCCTCATCGTCATCAGACAGAACAGCAATCAGTGGACATAGGGGAGCCCTGTTGTTTGGAGGCCATGTTGGCATGAACCGCATCCACTTTCGTCATGGCCGGCGGGATGTTCTCGTTACTTTTCGATCCGTACTTATCGTTCAGCAGGCGCGAATCCGTTACGTGACCGAACGTTATGTCGGAGCAGGTTTTCAGGAGGTCGTATGCAGTCGAATCCGGTACTATTGAGTCGTGTTGGTAGTCCGGGTGGCTTTCTACGAACTCTCTCGTCCACGATGCTAGCGTTAGAAGGTTGCCTGTGCAGGTGAGTGAGTGTGAGAATATAAGCAGCAAACAAACCAGCAAACAAATGAACAAACAACCAAGCAAACAAACAAGCAAACAAGCAAACAAACAAAACAAACAAGCAAACAAACGAGCAACCAAACAAACCAGAGGCCCTCTTCTTGATGAGATCAAGATATTGAGAGATGGTGCAGCTGGTATCTACATCACAGTCATCCACACTCTGCAGGTACCTCTCTATCAGGGACATCAAACCGGGGAAGACACCTTCCTGTGTATGTGTGTGTGTTTAGACAAACAAACACATATGCGTGTATATACACACACACACACACATAGAGAGAAAGAGAGAGAGAGAGAGAGAGAGAGAGAGAGAGAGAGAGAGAGAGAGAGAGAGAGACCTTGCCAGAAATAATCTCCTGAATAGTGAAGAGGTCATACTCATCGTCAATTGATTGTGCCTCGCCCCGATCCTGCGGTGACCTCTTGCTAGCAGGGCAACAACACAGACTTTCGGCTTCTTTTGGGGTGTTGCCTGTCATTTTGTTGGCGGTGTCGTTGTGGTTGTTGTTGTGGTTGTTGTTGTGGTTGTTGGTGTTGCTGTTGTTGTCATTGCTGATGGATTTAATGTTATTGATGTTGTTGTTGTTGTAGTTGCTGATGGTTTTAATGCTATTGATGTTGTTGTTGTTGTAATTGCTGATGGTGTTTTAATGTTATTGATGTTGTTGTTGTAGCGGCAACTTACATGTGACAATATCTTTCCGGAAGTAAAACTTCTCCTGGCGACATGCATCTCTTTTCTGCGCTTTCTTCATGTTTTCATCCACCTTTCAATCAATCAATCAATCAATCAATCAATCAATCAATCAATCAATCAATCAATCAATCAATCAATCAATCAATCAATCAATCAATCAATCAATCAATCAATCAATCAATCAATCAATCAATCAATCAATCAATCAATCAATCAATCAATCAATCAATCAATCAATCAATCAATCAATCAATCAATCAATCAATCAATCAATCAATTAACCAGTCAATCAATCATTCAATGCATTGATAAGCCAGTCAACCAATGAACCAATCGAACAAAGAAACGAAAACACGCCTTGGATATAGGAATGACGAAGTTCAATTTGTAGGTTAGGATAACTCGGGTTAGCAGAACTATAAAAACAACATAGGCTGCATTCTCGAAATCAGTCAACTGGACCTACATATTATTGAATAATAATAATTGTTAAAAGTCCAATAATAATAATAATAATAATAATAAACAACAATAATAAATAATAATAATAAGATACCTCCATGGGCCTAAATTCGACCCTCCATCCGATGTCGGTGTTCGGTGGCGGGGGCTTGAACCTCATCGTCTGCCAGTTCGTTGACTGAATGTTCTGTTGTCGTTGTGGTTGTTGAAGATGTTGTTGTTGTTGAAGATTTTGTTGTTGATGTTGTTGTTGTTGTTAAAGATGTTGTTGAAGATGTTGTCGTTGTAGTTGAAAATGTTGTTGTTGTTGATGATGTTGTTCTTGTTGTTGAATGGTGGATAGAAATATTAAAACAACGTCAACAACAACATCAACAACAACGACATCAAACACAACACAACATCAACCTCAAAATGATCTGTATCAACTTCATCATCGAGGTCCAACTTCTCCTTGAAAACCGAGATGGGATCTCGAATGAAGAGGTGTGCTATGTGCTTTGCTAGCAGTCTGTCAATGCCTTTGTTACGTTCGTTCGTTTGTTTGTTTGCATCATGTGACATCATTTGTTTGCATCATATCATGTTTGTTTGTATCATGTGACTATCATATCATGTTTGTATCATGTTTGTTTGTATCATGTGACTATCATATCATGTTTGTTTGTATCATGTGACATTATGTTGTTTTGTTGTTGTTTTATGCAATAAAACAGGGTAGTAACCAATATTAATAACAGTCAAACATACAAACAAACATACAAACAAACAAACATACAAACAAACAAACACACAAACAAACCATTATTAGTAAGCGTGTTGAAGATATCTTTATCATAAACCATGTTGATGTCGTTGTACTCATCACTACAATAGGATAAGTAGCTATCTATAGAGTCGTATCTCGACTTCTGAATGACAAATCTCTCATTCTTCAGAGGCTGTTTGAGGTTTGAGTGTGTGTTGTATTGAAATTTCTGTGAGTTTTTGTGGTGTGTATGTGTGTGGGTGTGTGTGATTGTGTGTGTATGTGCAGTTTTGTTGTTGTTTGTGATAGTTGTTTAATAGCATGGGCACATTGTTTTTAGGTTTAAATTTGATGATGTTATATGGTTGCTTATATATATATATATATATATATATATATATATATATATATATATATATATATATATATATATATATATATATATATATATATATATATATATATATATACCACAAACACATTGGCATGTACACACATACAAACAAATACACTCACAGAGACAAATATACAGACAGATATGTACACAAAAATAGAAAGACAAACGGCCAGGTAGACAGACAGAGAGACAGCCAGACAGCCAGACAGACAGACCTCGAGACCTCGTTCTTCTCTCGTTCTATCATCAACAGAAGCCGAAATTACTGGCCACCTACAGTCAATATCAGACAAATAACCTCTGAAGATGGCACTGGAGGCACTAAGTGCTAACTGTATGTATGTATGTGTATGTACGTATGTATGTATGTATGTATGTATGTATGTATGTATGTATGTATGTATGTATGTATGTATGTATGTATGTATGTATGTATGTATGTATGTATGTATGTGTATGTATGTATGTATGTATGTGTGTGTATGTATGTGTGTATGTGTGTGTGTGACAAACATACCATAATAGGGCATAATGGAGTCAGCTGATCGTAGAGCAGCCTAGCTTCACAGATATTACAGGCTTGAAATGTAACCTATATTATTATTATTATCATTATTATCATTATTATCATTATTATCATTATTATTATTATTATCATTATTATTATGTATTTTTAAGAGAATGAAGTTTTTAGTAGGCCATCAGCACTTGTCAACCAAAAAGCGAGCGTGATGATGATGGAATGACATATGAAAAATTAAATCCTCGCTTCGTTCCCCCATTACAGTATAATCAAGTAAGGAAAAGTTTATCTAATAATAATAATAATAATAATAAAAATGATGATGATAATAATAATAATAATAATAATAAAATGATAATAATAAATATAATAATGATAATGATGATAATAATAACAACCTGGAGACAGCAGCATCCCATTCCAAATCCCATGCAATCCATGTATATGTGGTCGGGTTTTGCTGCTGCAATAGTTTCAGCCTTTGAAGATTCAGCTGGATGAATGAATGAATGGATGGATGGATAGATGATTGAATGAATGATTGAATGAATGAATGATTGAACGAATGATTGAATGAATGATTGAGTAAATGAATGACTGAATGATTGAATGAATGATTGAATGAATGAATGATTGAATATATGATTGAATGAATGAGTAAATGAATGAATGACTGAATGGATGGATGGATGAATGAATGAATGAATGAATGAATGGAAAAATTGATGAATGAATGGATGAATGAACCATCACCCACAATGACCTGAACGCCACACACGCACCTGTTGACTTCAGATTGAGGCTGTTGTACAAAGCAGTGAAATCTTCTATGAAGGGACTCTTTGTTTTCTTATCATTAAATACTTTTCATGAAAAAATAAACATATACACAAACTTACATACACACAAACAAACATAGATACACACAAACAAACATAGATACACACAAACAAATATGGATACATACATACAAACATACACACAAACAAACAAACAAAGACACACTCACAGAAAATAATTATAGAACGAAACTTTCAAAACATTCTTAAACACCACTCGAAAATTGGCTACATGTTTAACAAATGATTAATGACAAACTAGATAAGATGAATAGATGAATGGAATAGTAATTACAATAGTATACAATTATCATCAATGTAACCAATGAGATTGGTTGCAATACAAAAAAGGGGCAGACTTGGAACATTGATGGCCGGTCTTTCTTTCCTCCTTTCGCGAACATTCCTACTCAGAGTACTGGAAAAAAAATTGTACACACATCCATGCAGACGTACACACATACATACAAACAAATTTGAAATACAAACATACACACATACAAATCTGAAATACAAACATACACATACAAATTTGAAATACAAACATACAAATTTGAAATACAAACATACACACATAAATAGAAAAACATACATACATCTATATTATAAAGCAAAATATATTTAAATTCTCTCTCTCTCTCTCTCTTTCTCTCTCTCTCTCACACACACACAAACACGCACACACACAAACATACAGACACTCGCATACGCATATGAAATACACAATCTGACCGAAATCTTGGGTGACCACCGAATATAGCCTCATCAGGGAAGAACAATGACCTAGATACGCCATTAATTGGGTCAGGTAAGTGTTGTGGTATTGTGAAGTTAGCACATCCAATCCTGGTGAGAAATAGCAATGACAATGGTTGCAATGTTAGTAGGGGTTAGGGTTGAGAATTTTCTTGAGGATTTTAAAATATTCATAATGGCTTATATATAGAGACACAGTGTACACACGCAAACAAATTTGAAGAGAAACGAAACGAACGAAACGAAATTTTTATTTGCTCCATAAAATTAAAAAATTAAAAAAAATAAGAAGAATTAAACAGGCTCAGCTTGGCTATGCAAAATGAATGACAAGGTGGGCAAACATATTAATCTGAGATTAAAAACCAAAATAAACACATACAAACATACTCATACACACGCACACACAACCATACATACAAAAACATACATATACACACAAGCACACACAATCATACGAACACAAACACACATATACATATACACACAACCACACACAAACATACATACAGAAACATACATATACACATACACACAAACATACATATACACATACACACAAACACACACACACATACATACATACATAAAGCTAAAGACACACTCAAACACACCTAATAGTAAATAACAGCTCTTCTAAGCTACATAATCAAATTGAATACACATAGACATGAATACCCATAGACATGAATATATGTATTAATCCCCAAATATGTATGTATGTATATATTTGCAGGTCTATATTTGCAGTGTTATAAAAAATTATAGCTGTACTGTGTGTGTGTGTGTGTGTGTGTGTGTGTGTGTGTGTGTGTGTCTGTGTGAGTGA